ACATAAACTGCAGTAATCCTACATAAACTGCGGTAACCCTACATAAACTGCAGTAACCCTACATAAACTGCAGTAACCCTACATAAACTGCAGTAATCCTACATAAACTGCAGTAACCCTATATAAACTGCAGTAACACTACATAAACTGCAGTAACCCTACATAAACTGCAGTAATCCTACATAAACTGCAGTAACCCTACATAAACTGCAGTAATCCTACATAAACTACAGTAACCCTACATAAACTGCAGTAATGCTACATAAACTGCAGTAACCCTACATAAACACCAGTAACCCTCCATAAACTTATAAAACAAAGAGTAACAAAAAAAAAAAAAAGGCACAATACCGTGACTGGAACAATACACAATTAACCCGCACATAGAAGAGAGATTCTTACGACGACGTTTCGGTCCGACTTGGACCATTTACAAAGTTACACGTCGTCTTAAGCTCCTCTCTTTTATGTGCGGGTTATTTGTGTATAAGACAAAGAGTGTCTGTATAGGAAATATTCTTCAATACTTCTCCGTGAGAGATCCTGATCACCTACTGCCGTTAATACTGTAGAAAAGACACGGTAACATAATGTGGTAGGAAGGGATGAGTACTTCAGCAGGCCTGTTGCCACATTCTAAGCAGATGAGTAAGACATATGTGCCTGTTGCCTACACAGGAGGAATTTTCACTCTAATTCGGAGGTGACTCAATACAGAGACAGCAGCAACAACGGGGAGGTAAAGACTGTGGAGTCGAATACTTTTCAAGGTTGAGAGAATGACCACATCAATACTTTTTCAAGACTGAGAGACTGACCACCTCAATACTTGTTCAAGGCTTATGAACTAATTTCATCAGCTTTACCTCTCCACTACATCTGCTTCTTCCACATATAGTCACCTCTGCATTCCACTGAAGAAGCCTATTGCATCCTCGTTCAATTAGATCTGCATCATGTCATAACCTGATAAAGCTCTACAAAGAGTGAAACGTCGTTCCAAAGAAAACTTTTTCTGCAACTTTTGTATTTCCATCACTTCTTTATGCTGGAGTTTTTCATACACCGTGAGGTAAGACCGAGAATTTTCTCCACTGCATCTCACGCCTCGTCGAGTTTTCTCACGATCGCCGTAAATTCTGGCGGCCTGAGTTGCAACTTCTGAATTTAGAACGCTAATAAAACAAACCATGAATTATTTTTTGGTAGTTTCAGCAGTTAGACTTGAGGAGGGCAGCAAGTCATCACAACTGTTATTAATGGCAGTGATTTACCCTAAAAATACGAGAGAGAGAGAGAGAGAGAGAGAGAAAGGAGAGTAAATTCCCAAGTAATGAATGAATGGCTGGATAAATATGGAAATTATGGAGTAGCTATTACAGATGGCTTACTTGGCCGTCTGTCACGCTTTTGGTCTGCAATCAGCTGCTGGCAAGCCTAGACGTGGACACTAGGTGTAATGAAGCTCCTGGCAACTCATGGAAATCACCAGGAATAGTGAAACTCGTGGCGACTACTGGTGGAAGTGAAGCTCATGGCAATCACACGCTGTAGTGAAGCTCGTGGCAGCCATCAATGGTAGTGAAGTTCATGACAGAAACCATTGGCAGTGAAGCTTATGGCAAGATCCATTTGTAGTGATGCTCGTGGCAACCATCAGTGGTAGGGAAGCTCGTGGTAACCACTAGTGGTAGTGAAGCTCATGGAAACCACCAGTGGTGGTGAAGCTCGTGAAAACCACCAGTGATAGTGAAGCTCATGGCAACCATCAGCTGTTGTGATGCTCATGGCAACCACCCATGGTAATGAAGCTCATGGCAACAACCAGCCGTAGCGAAGCTCGTGGCAACCACTAGTTGTAGTGAAGCTTCTGACAACCGTCAGTAATAGAGACGCTCAAGGTATTCACGAGCCACATGGAAGCCTCGGAGCAGTCACCAGCTGCTCGGAAGCCTCGGAGCAGTCACCAGTCGCAGGAATTCCTCCAGAGAGAAAGAGGAGAACACCGGCAGCCTCCGCTGATCTTCCGTATTTAACTGTTTATATTGCAAACAATTAAACAAAATTAAAAGCGAGCCGAGCGCTAAATGAGATTTTGTGCTCGAATAAAGTGTACAAACGAGGGAGACCATTGACAGTAAAAATTAACATTGAAACCTTTTCTAGCCGCCAGGAGGAATAATTTACGTTGGGACGATGTCCTAGAGTGGCAATGATTGCAACTGTGTGCGCAGGAAGCAAGAAAGGCATCATTGATAAGCCGGGACGGGGTCCCAGAGACAGTATTTGCAACTAATGTGTATATAGAACTGGAAACTGTCTAAATTGGTGTGCTAGTGACAGTCTTTGCAACAGTTTGTGAATATAAATAAAACACTACAGTACAATTAACTGAACTCATTAATTGTCCAAATTACTGGCAGCTTCAGCTGGTCTCTTGATGATGCTCGCTTACGGAACATTAGAGTAAAATTGACGATATAGTCTGTGATCATCTTGACCGTGATAGTCACAGCTGCGCTATTGCTAGTGTTGGTAACAACTTGGCTAGTGATGGTCACAGCTGTACTAGTGCTAGTGATAGTAAGAGCCTGGCTAAAGATGGTCACAGCTGTATTAGTTCCACGGATAGTAACAGCTTGGCTAGTGATGGTTAGAGCTGTACTAGTGCTAGTGATAGCAATAGCTTGGCCAGTGATGATCACAGCTCTACTAGTGCTAGTGATAGTAACAGCTTGGCTAGTGATGGTCACATCTGTACTAGTGGTAGTAACAGCTTGGCCAGTGATGGTCACAGCTGCACTAGTGCTAGTGATAGTAACAGCTTGGCCAGTGATGGTCACAGCTATACTAGTGCTGGTGATGGTAACAACTTGGCTAGTGATGGTCACATCTGTACTAGTGGAAGTAACAGCTTGGCCAGTGATGGTCACAGCTGTTCTAGTGCTAGTGATAGTAACAACTTGGATAGTGATGGTCACAGCTGTACTATTGCTAGTAATATTAACAGCTTGGCTAGTGATAGTCACAGCTGTACTAGTGCTAGTGATGGTCACAGCTGTACTAGTGCTGGTGATGGTAACAACTTGGCTAGTGATGGTCACATCTGTACTAGTGGTAGTAACAGCTTCGCCAGTGATGGCCACAGCTGTACTAGTGCTAGTGATAGTAACAGCTTGGCTAGTAATGGTCACAGCTGTTCTAGTGCTAGCGATAGTAACAACTTGGCTAGTGCTGGTCACAGCTGTATTATTGCTAGTGATAATAACAACTTGGCTAGTGCTGGTCACAGCTGTACTATTGCTAGTGATAATAACAACTTGGCTAGTGCTGGTCACAGCTGTACTATTGCTAGTGATAATAACAACTTGGCTAGTGCTGGTCACAGCTGTACTATTGCTAGTGATAATAACAACTTGGCTAGTGATGGTCACAGCTGTACTATTGCTAGTGATAATAACAACTTGGCTAGTGCTGGTCACAGCTGTACTATTGCTAGTGATAATAACAACTTGGCTAGTGATGGTCACAGCTGTACTATTGCTAGTGATAATAACAACTTGGCTAGTGCTGGTCACAGCTGTACTATTGCTAGTGATAATAACTTGGCTAGTGCTGGTCACAGCTGTACTATTGCTAGTGATAATAACAACTTGGCTAGTGCTGGTCACAGCTGTACTATTGCTATTGATAATAACAACTTGGCTAGTGCTGGTCACAGCTGTACTATTGCTAGTGATAATAACTTGGCTAGTGCTGGTCACAGCTGTACTATTGCTAGTGATAATAACTTGGCTAGTGCTGGTCACAGCTGTACTATTGCTAGTGATAATAACAACTTGGTTAGTGATGGTCACAGCTGTACTATTGCTAGTGATAATAACAACTTGGCTAGTGATGGTCAGAGCTCATGCTGGAGTGGCTAGAGAGGACAGTTGTCATTAATTCACTTCTGTTCTTGAGATACTGTGTTAATGAGTAAGAAACAAATGCAGTGCTTAAGCTTCTTTATTAATTATGCGCATGACCTACAAAGAAGGCTTCATCAGTCAAATTCGGAGGTGATTACAATAGTAGAGACAGTAAAAGAGTGGCAGAGGTAATTTTAGGTCATCAGTCCCTTTGCCTTAATAAATTTCAATCTCTCTTAGCTAGTGTGATATACAAAAGTGACGATACGAATATAAATCAAAGGTAAATAACAGAACATTATCCCAATTACTATCTTCTCATCTCTACTACTTCTTTCATCTGACTAACCTTTCTTGCTTTTCCATTCTCGCATTCTCTTACTCCACATAATTAACTCCTTCCCTTATGCATAGCCTTTCTCCTCTTTTCATTCCACAATCTCTAACTTCGCATCCTTACCTACTCCTCTTCATCCTCCCGAGGCAGATTGCCCATCTTACAAATAACATAAGAAGAGAGAAGAGCCCTAAAAGTTTACCAGTGGCTCCTATACTTGGAGTTAATGGAGGTAATTTTGGTCAATGAGGCGAGTATTAGCCGCGTGATGTGGCGAATTACCAGGGCCTGTTACAGCGTCCAGGGTGGTGGTGATGGTGGTGGTAAGTCGTGAGGGTGGTAGGTGGTGGTCGTGGTGGTAAGTGGTGAGGGTGGTAAGAGGTGGCGGTGGTAAGTGGTGAAGGTGGTAATGGTGGTGGTAAGTGGTGAGGGTGGTAAGAGGTGGCGGTGGTAAGTGGTGAAGGTGGTAATGGTGGTGGTAAGTGGTGAGAGTGGTAGGTGGTAAGTGGTGTGGGTGGTAAGAGGTGGTGGTGGTAAGTGGTGAAGGTGGTGATAGTGGTGGTAAGTGGTGAGAGTGGTAGGTGGTGGTAAGTGGTGAGCGTGGTAGGTGATGGTGGTGGTGATTATGGTAGATTCTGAGAGTGGTTAGAGATGATGGTGGTAGGTTGTGACCAGGATGTTGGTAGGTGGTGGAGGGAGTATTATTGATGAGAGTGGAAAGCAGATAATAATGATATGTAACAGTAGTAATGATGATTGTTGGTGGTGGGAAAGGCAGAGGAAATGGTAGAGACACAGATGACTGGGGTAATCGTAGTGATGATAATAGTGATGGTGCTGGTGGCAGTGTGTGGGTCTCAGAGGATATAGTTATGAAGTGTAAGATCAAACTTCACATGCATTATGATGCCGTATATCTATTTATTTACTTATCTATTAATGTACCTACGTATATATATATATATATATATATATATATATATATATATATATATATATATATATATATATATATATAATATATATATATATACATAATATATATATATATATATATATATATATATATATATATAATATATATATATATATATATATATATATATATATATATATATATATACATATATATTATATATTTTTTTTATTATTTTTTTTTTTTATTATCACACCGGCCGATTCCCACCAAGGCAGGGTGGCCCGAAAAAGAAAAACTTTCACCATCATTCACTCCATCACTGTCTTGCCAGAAGGGTGCTTTACACTACAGTTTTTAAACTGCAACATTAACACCCCTCCTTCAGAGTGCAGGCACTGTACTTCCCATCTCCAGGACTCAAGTCCGGCCTGCCGGTTTCCCTGAATCCCTTCATAAATGTTACTTTGCTCACACTCCAACAGCACGTCAAGTATTAAAAACCATTTGTCTCCATTCACTCCTATCAAACACGCTCACGCATGCCTGCTGGAAGTCCAAGCCCCTCGCACACAAAACCTCCTTTACCCCCTCCCTCCAACCCTTCCTAGGCCGACCCCTACCCCGCCTTCCTTCCACTACAGACTGATACACTCTTGAAGTCATTCTGTTTCGCTCCATTCTCTCTACATGTCCGAACCACCTCAACAACCCTTCCTCAGCCCTCTGGACAACAGTTTTGGTAATCCCGCACCTCCTCCTAACTTCCAAACTACGAATTCTCTGCATTATATTCACACCACACATTGCCCTCAGACATGACATCTCCACTGCCTCCAGCCTTCTCCTCGCTGCAACATTCATCACCCACGCTTCACACCCATATAAGAGCGTTGGTAAAACTATACTCTCATACATTCCCCTCTTTGCCTCCAAGGACAAAGTTCTTTGTCTCCACAGACTCCTAAGTGCACCACTCACTCTTTTTCCCTCATCAATTCTATGATTCACCTCATCTTTCATAGACCCATCCGCTGACACGTCCACTCCCAAATATCTGAATACGTTCACCTCCTCCATACTCTCTCCCTCCAATCTGATATTGAATCTTTCATCACCTAATCTTTTTGTTATCCTCATAACCTTACTCTTTCCTGTATTCACCTTTAATTTCCTTCTTTTGCACACCCTACCAAATTCATCCACCAATCTCTGCAACTTCTCTTCAGAATCTCCCAAGAGCACAGTGTCATCAGCAAAGAGCAGCTGTGACAACTCCCACTTTGTGTGTGATTCTTTATCTTTTAACTCCACGCCTCTTGCCAAGACCCTCGCATTTACTTCTCTTACAACCCCATCTATAAATATATTAAACAACCACGGTGACATCACACATCCTTGTCTAAGGCCTACTTTTACTGGGAAAAAATTTCCCTCTTTCCTACATACTCTAACTTGAGCCTCACTATCCTCGTAAAAACTCTTCACTGCTTTCAGTAACCTACCTCCTACACCATACACTTGCAACATCTGCCACATTGCCCCCCTATCCACCCTGTCATACGCCTTTTCCAAATCCATAAATGCCACAATTTAAATTTAAATGCCACATATTATATATATATATATATATATATATATATATATATATATATATATATATATATATATATATATATATATATATATATGTCGTGCCGAATAGGCAGAACTTGCGATCTTGGCTAAAATAGCAACGCTCATCTTGCCATATAGGACAAGTGAAAATTTGTGTATTCAATAATTTCGCCAAAATCATTCTGAACCTAACGAAAAAAATATATTTCACTGTATTTGTTTAGTATTAAATTATTGTAAACCAATCTAAAATATGTTTAGTTGGGTTAGACTAAAATAAATTGTTCTTTTTATAATAAGGTTAGGTAACTTTTCTAAGTTCCTTTTGGTGCAAAATTATAAATTTTTACATCAACATTAATGAAAAAAATATGTCTTTAAGGATATAAGAGAAAATTTTAGAAAGGACTTAATTTTAAATGAGTTCTTGCTAATTGACCAGTTTTACATATTCGGCACGACATATATTATATATATATATATATATATATATATATATATATATATATATATATATATATATATATATATATATATATATATATATATAATCGCTCTTCTTGCCCATTAAGCCAAACGAAAGTTTGTGTATGCAATAACTTCTGAAAAATCATTCTGAACCTAAGGAAAAAAATATATTTCATTGGGTTAGTTTTTAAATTTAAATTTATTCTAAATTATTCTAAATTTTAATTGATCTTGTTATAATAAGGTTAGATAAGTTTTCAAAGATTCTTGTCGTACAAATTATTAATTTTTAAATTAACGTAAATGAAAAAAATGTATCTTTAAACGTATAAGAGAAAATTTTAGAAAAGACAATTTTAAATGAGTTCTTGGAAATTGATCAGTTTTACCTCTTCGGCACGACATATATATTATCTTTCTCTCTCTCTCTCTCTCTCTCTCTCTCTCTCTATATATATATATATATATATATATATATATATATATATATATATATATATATATATATATATATAGATAGATAGATAGATAGATAGATAGATAAATAGATGGGGTCCACCTCAGCCTCGGGAAAGTAGATATAAAGGTTTCTAGGAAGAATATTTGGATTTCTTCCTGAAGCCATTTGAATATTCCAATTCTCTTACCACCCCATCTGTATTTTTTTTAAGTAATATATCACATAACTAATGTAATTCCTTTCTTCAAATAAGATCTTTCCAAAACTATCAAAATACCGCCAAGTAAGCTTGACCTCAATATAAAGCATGTTATTTGCATTAATAATAGATATATAATAAGAAGCCGTGTTAATGAGTAAAATTTCATTAACGAGTCTAAACAAATATAATTAAAAAGCCATTCGTGCTTGACAAATACACAGAGTCTCATCCGTGAAGCATTTGAGGTAATGAACATTGTTACGATGCATCCATAAAATGAGGTTGCTTAAGACTGTAGTAACAGTACCTGGTACTCATGGATCGAGGCATGGCTAGCTACCAGAAGCAGAGACTCTGCATAAATGACGTCTTGTTAATGGGTAGAATCATGCCGATAAGAAAATACGTAAGACGCAATGTGGGGGATTATGGCCTTTTATTAGAAAGCTTTTCGTCTACAAGGGACTGATATATTTCCTGGAGAACAATACAACTTTTGAGGACCAGAAGGCATATAGACTTACAGTAGACCTGAGTACGGTGCATACACTCTACAGAGAAACAGAAAAAACACCTTATTAACTTCCAAGTGGTCAGACAGTGGCTGTCGCAGCAGATTAGGTTTAGAATTGGAAATAGCCAAAAATGATAACATTAATTAAAACTCAGGATATTTCACAACCACCGATGTTTTAGTCTCCCAATACCTGATAATAAGATCATCTAACCGCACTTGCTCGCCTGGCTACTTGTATGTGGCTTCATGACCACATTCTTTCACCTCAGGATCTCTCTCCAACCCTTATGAATACCTGTGTCCTGTAGTCTGTGTACACTTATGAAGTCCCTATTGGACGACACAAATCAGTGAAAAGATATAACCTGCACTGCGTGTCTCATTTACGTACTGCCGGTATACTCAACCGCTGTGTTACAAGAAGCGAGGTGGAGGAGCTGGTGGTGACACCACGGGTGAGCGTAGCCATCCTTTCCTAAATAACTGTTTACTGTATTTTCAAAGGATTTGTTGAAGACTTTCCTGTACCAAGACATAATAGTGTTGCTGTGTCAGACCAGTATTATATTATTGGTGGTGATATCCAATACAAGCTGATAAATAAGACAACACCTGCAACACTGGGATATATTTATTGCAGGGAAGTTTTCCCTGAACGGCTGGCTTGCTCAGTCGAATGAAGAAACTTGTTTCACAGGCAAAAGAGTTTGACAATATACTCAAATGCTGCACGTGTGTCTTATTCATCAACCTGTAGATATTGCTTAGCATCACTGAAATGGGAAAATATACAATAACAGCTTTGGGCAGAGGATGTCGCGCGGCTAATAATGTCGAATTCAGTTGAAAGGTTTCAAGCGTGGGTATTTTACATTCGAAGGAGACAGGTGGAAAACCGGGAGAAGAAAATTGAGAAAAGTGGTTTTCATAGTACGTGAGGAGGCTGTCTAGACCCAAAATTGTAAGTGGTACCTTTAAGTTAGTAGAGAAAGCGTGTTCTGCTGTTGTTCGTTTGGAAGAGAAGAGCTATTAACACTGATTGCATTGTACACTTAGTGAGCCTTGCTCATCTTCCAGCAGGGAACTTGACACCAAACAGTTGGCCCTGATGATATTTTGTCCTGCCTGCGCCTCTTCGTCCAGCAGAGAGTTTGACATAACAACTGCTGGCCCTCATTGTATTCTGCACTGCGCGTTTCTCTTCTTCCAGCAGAGGCTTGACACCGGGCAGCAATGCTCCTTGTATCAACTGTTTTAATCGTGTACCCCACGGCACTTTGCGCGGACAAATGGGTAATTTAATACTAGTATCATGCTGCCACTGCTGACTAATAGTACTGGTGTTTTCCTCCTTCAGTCATATTTCTTTTTATTTTCTTCATTTTCTTGGCCTTTTTCTTCTTTTTCTTTTTCTTCTCCTTCTTCTTAGTAATAGTACTAATAGAAAATAGTAATAACAGAATCTTCCTTATTTTTGTTGTTGTTGTTGTACCTTGCTTAACCCACTAAATCCGTGCGAGCCATTCACTGCACTAGGTAATGAAATCTCCCTCCTCCGTCTAGTGATGACATAAGGGACGCAGTATCTATCTATAGTCACCTACGAGAAGAATGAGACATGTGCAACAGTTAGGTATCTTTGTTTACGGTAATTTTCGCCTACACAGTATGCTTCTTCATTCGAATGATGATGTGACAAATAAAGACGGCAGAAACAGTGAAGAGGTAAAGGTTAAGTAATCAGTATATCAGCATTGAAGATATAGTTTGACGACGTCAGTCACTCAGCTTAGAGAAGTGTTCAGCTTCAAGACGAAGCTCAACACCTTTTCAAGATGGTCACGTCAGACTGCATCTTCAAGGCTGATAGATCTCTCACATTGTTTTTACCTCTCCTCTAGCTTTGGCTTTCTCCATATTAGCAATCTCCGAACTGGACTGCTGTGTAGGCGAAACCTTTCAGAAATAATGTTAGCTAAGCTGTCTTCAGGAAGGCACTGGACAGGCACCTAAAGTCAGTGCCTGACCAACCGGGTTGTGGTTCGTAAGTCAGTTTGTTTGCGGCCAGCAGTAACAACCTGGTTGATCAGACCCTGATCCACCACGAGGCCTGATCTCAGACCGAGCCGCGGGGGCGTTGATCCCCGAAACCCTCTCTAGGTAAACTCCAAGTAAACTCTTGTACAAGTGTACTTATCGCCATTGTTTACCACTGGTACATTATTCGCCTAAGAGATATTTAGTACTAATAACATATACGAACGACTCAATACATTGTGTTTGCTACTGATTTTCTGTATTAAATGAGTTAATCAGATACAACTTTCAAAATATTAATAACATTACATAATAAACAGAATAAAAGGCTTTCAAACAGACCAAAGTAGTTTTAAAACTGAATAATATAAAAGGCTTTAAAACTGAATAATATAAAAGGCTTTAAAACTGAATAATATAAAAGGCTTTAAAACTGAATAATATAAAAGGCTTTAAAACTGAATAATATAAAAGGCTTTAAAACTGAATAATATAAAAGGCTTTAAAATTGATATTAAATATGAAAAGGTTCTGAAATTCTTAACGCAAGGTAACATTTTTTAATAAATACATTCAGAAAAATGATGCTGAACAAATAACTTTGTACCAGACATTATGACATCAAACTCAATATCAATGATTATATTTTTTAATTTCCTTTGTAATAAATAATTTCATTTCAAGCAGGGTTAAATAAAAGTATATAATTTTGAGACTAAAGTTTTTTTTCCACTTAACTGGTAACACATTGTCTAACTATATTAATATATATATATATTATATATATTATATATATATATATATATTTATATATATATATATATATATATATATATATATATATATATACACTTATATATATATATTATACACTTATTATATATATATATATTATATAATATAAAAATTATATATATAATATATATATATATACATATACACTTATATATATATATATATATAATATATATGTATGTATATATATATATATATATATATATATATATATTTTATATATATATATATATATATATATATATATATATATATATAATATATATATATATATATATATATATATATACACTTATATATATATATATATATATTATATATATATATATATATATATATATATTATATATATATATTATATAATATATATATATATATATACATATATATATATTAGTGAAAAAAAATAGTGAAATTTCGAGCGTTTTTGTGATTTCACAAATTATCAATGACCTGTAATAATAGCAGAATGATACATAAGGCTGTGATATCAGCTCACGGTTTCGTGTGGATGTTTGCAGACGCGCCCAGATGCGACGGTTCAGATGTACCTTCAAACTGCCAATATCCCAATCTCCTGCTTTAAAGTGCAGGTATTGCAATTCCCATTTCCAGGACTCAAGTCCTGCTAACCGGTTTCCCTGAATCTCTTCACAAAATATTCCCCTGCTCACACTCCAACAGCTCGTCGGGACCCACAAACCATTCGTCTCTATTCACTCCTATCTAACGCGCTCATGCTCTCTTGCTGGAAGTCAAAGACCCTCGCCCACAAAACCTACTTTATCCCCTCCCTCCAACCTTTTCGGGGCCGACCCCTATCCTGCCTCCCTTCCCCTACAGATTTATATGCTCTCCAATTCATTCTACTTTGTTCCCCTCTCAATAACCCCTCTTCAGCCCTCTAACTAATACTTTTAGTAACTCCACACCTTCTCCTAATTTCCACATTACGAATTCTCTGCATAATATTTACACCACACATAGCTTACGGAGGAAGAATTCTATTCCACTTCCCCATGGATTTAATATATATATATATATATATATATTATATATATATATATATATATATATATATAATATATATATATATATATATTATATATATATATAGGGGATGGAAAATTAGTAGTTCTACGATTCGTCACGAGCTATGCAATATTGCAGGAGTTGCTATAGGTAGGATGAGAGACAATATCTAGTTATCGCACAGAAAGTAATATCCCATTATTTTCCAATAATTTTGTCCATCTGAGCCATTTACAGCACAATAACAATGCAGTCTATTTTTTTACACATAACATATTAGAGAAGAAACTATGGAGTTTAAGAAGAGTCATTCTCCACTTCAAGGAAGCTAATTGTACTCATTTTATTATTTATGTTAGGAATTGAGGACATTTGCACCTGCACAGCTTAAAACTCCAGTCACTTCTTCCGTAAGGCAGATATATCCCTGTTTAAGGGCTTAGACCATACACAAGACGCATTTTTAAATCATAACACGAAACAATATCACATATTATTAAATAAGATTAGGAAATTGTAATACATGTAGGCCAGTTACAATCCAAATGTTCTTTTAAACAAGATGCATCAGTACTGAAAGTTTCAACCCGATCTGAAAAGGCTTTCTCAAGTTATCGTTGTGAAATTGCTGTGCTGTTTAAATTAATAAATTTGGCAATTTGGCACATACTCTGTTGAAATATAATACGAGCTTTTCTAAAAAAAAACCCAACGCTAAAAATTTCAAGCCTATCAGATAAAGCGTTCCCAAGTTAGTGCACAGAAACACAGAAAACGTGGAAGGGAAAAAGAATAATTTAAACTTAACTAAAGTTTGCAGTGCACTAATATCCAGGCAGAGAAAAATATGTAGGAAGAAACTCAAGCTTTTCTGAAAAAAAGTTCTAAGAATACTCGAAGGTTAGATATTGATAGATATTGATATCAGTTGCATGTCAGTTCCAAATTTTTAGGTCAGTTTTCATATCATTATTCCCGATTTATGCAAGTTATTTCTGTATTCATGCAAGTTATTTTTATATTTATGCAAGTTATTTTTGTATTTATGCAAGTTATTTTTGTATTATGTAAGTTATTTTTTGTATTTATGTAAGTTATTTTTGTATTTATGTAAGTTATTTTTGTATTTATGTAAGTTATTTTTGTATTTATGCAAGTTATTTTTGTATTTATGTAAGTTATTTTTGTATTTATGCAAGTTATTTTCGTATTTGAAGTCAATATTATTTTGTAAACCGATATATGACATCAGAGAGATGCTGATCGAGATACTTGTGCAAAAATTGTGTATCTACATTGTAGAAACGTTTCCCCAACCAGTGGCTTCCTCAGTCCAGTACAAAGAAGAATGGTGGAAAATCAGAAGGAGTTTGAGTGAACCTTGGCCTACTGCCTCTGAAGTATCACCTTTCAGCGAATATATTTAACTCAGATTTGGAAATGTAAATCACACGACTTTTTGGGTCGTTTAGGATTATTATAAAGCCGCTACTTGATAATGGGTCTATATGGCCCGAAAAAGTCATATTGTCATGAGTGCTCTTAGAGCCGTGATTCATGCACGACTAACGATTAAGAATCGTAGCAGTTGTTACACATTAAGCAGCAGGTGTTGCCAGACATTACGTTCGAGACCGAACGAACTCAGGTATTAATAAGTCAATATGTTTATTTTTGCAGGTTTCGAGCGTCAGGTACCGGGGTACCCGAGGTACACCTACTCAGGTGACCCGGCGCTTGGAGAGCATCACCTGGTCATCAGCGGAATCACTATTACTGAGGACGGAGAGTATCAGTGCCAGGTGGGACCCACCCAGACTAACCCACCCATCTGGGCTGCTGCCAACGTTACTGTGTTGGGTGAGTTGTGCTGGAGAGAGATAGATGAAGGGTGGAGAGGGATACTGAGAGCGAGTATCAGTGTCAGGTGGAAACATCATAGATAGACTCATCTATCTGGACAGCACGATCATTCCACCAGTGTACTGTGGTAGAATGGGGGACTATGAGAGTGTCAGCTCGGGAAGATGATTCAGAGTAAGGGAGAGTAATGGAAAGCGAAGGCAAGCATGAGTCAAAGTTAATGTGGTAAGTGCATAAAATCCTTGTAACTAACACACACACACACCACACACCACACACATAAAATATATATATATATATATATATTTATATAATATATATATATATTATTATATATATACTATATATATATATATATATATATATATATATATATACTATATATATATATATATTTATATAATATATATATATATATATATATATATATATATGTCGTGCCGAATATGTAAAACTGGTCAATTAGCAAGAACTCATTAGAATTAAGTCGTTTCTAAATTTTCTCTTATACGTTTAAAGATATATTTTTTTCATTAATGTTGATGTAATAATTTATAAGTTTGTACCAAAAGGAACTTAGAAAACTTACCTAACCTTATTATAACAAGCGCAATTTATTTTTGCCCAACCCAACTGATAATTTTTGTTTGTTTACAGTAATTTTAAAACTAAACAAAAATGTGAAATATATTTTTTTTGTTAGGTTCGAATGATTTTGGCGAAATTATTACATACCAAATTTCATTGTCCTATTGGGAAGAAACGTTGCTATTTTAAACCAAAAACGCAATTCTGCCTATTCTGCACGAATATATATATAAATATATATAAAATTTTTTATAATATATATTTATTTTTAAAAATTTTATATAATAAAATTTTTATATGTGTGCCCCAATATGTAAAATGGTCAAAACCAAGAAATCATTAAAATTAAGTCCTTTCTGAAATTTTCTCTTTTAAAGTTTTTAAAAATATATTTTTTTTTTATTATGTTAAAAGTAAAAAAAAAATTTAAAATTTTCACCAAAAGAAATTTAGAAAACTTTCCTAACCTTATTAAACAAGAGCAATTTATTTTAGCCCAACCCCAAATAAATATATTTTAAAAACGTTTACATAATTTAGTACTAAAAAACATAATCAAAAAAAATTTTTTTTCGTTTGGGTTTAGAATGATTTTGGGGAAAATTATTGCATACACAAATTTTTACTTGTCCTTATGGGGAAGTTTACGTTGCTATTTAAACCCAAAATCGCAAGTTCTGCCTATTTGGGACGACATATATAATATATTATAATTTATATATATTTATATATATATTTAAAAATATTATATATATAATAAAGTTGGAGTATTATAGTGTAAGGGATGAGTCTAGCAGATGGAGCCAACCAAAAGGGAAACAACAGCCCGGGAAATGGCACGGTTCAAACTAGGAGAGGCAAGTGTCATCGCTTACAGCTTCGTTGTTCAACTCTAATGGGTTTTCCCCCGCAAACCGTTTGTTGCCCCGGTTAAGAGTCCTCCTGTGGAAAATAAGCCCGAGCACCTCAGGCACCTGAACCTACCCAAAAGATTTCATCTCATCAACAATCTTTGGAATAAATTAAGCAACAGGTACCAGGGCATCAACAATTTCCCAAAGCAGCCGTCCACACGCAGCTGGGCCCTTAAGCCCCCCGGAAAAAAGTAAACGAGGGTTCCACTTTTTAAAAAGCCCCCCAAAACCATCAAGATGGCAAAAACGGGGCTATTTTTTGGCAATGTCTGCTGAGCTGTCCCAGAAAAAAGGGGGGAAGGCTAGCCCCTCAATGATAATTAAATCTTTAAGGAAGATTTTCCAAGATTTGAAAACCTCATTCCTTCCCCGTCAAAAAACAAAAAAGGGGGGCGGGAAACCCCCACTCACTCTTTGACAGTGAAAAAGTCGGGGCCCGGGTTGACCCAAGAAATTGAAGGGGGGGGCCAACACAGTGGGGGCAATCAGAATTATTCCCAATGAAATACATTGTTCCCGGGGTTGCTTACACAGCTGAAGAACTTAGGGGAAAAGGCACCCTGCCAGGAAACCAGTGGCACCAACATTTCCAACACCTCTGCCCCACTATGGAACCATTGTTTTTGGGGGAAGACTCAGACATTTAAAAAGAAAAAGTCTTTCCCTTTGGGCCCTGCGGGGGGTTACACTGGAAAAAGGCCACAGCTTTTAAAAGGGAAAAAAGGTTGGGTCCAGTTTTTGGGGGAAAATTGCAGGGGAACACTGCTTTCAGAGATCAAAAGGGTTTTCGTAAAACCCAATTCCTTGGCTGGTCGTTTCCCTGATAAAATTGCCCTTTTCTTTTTTGGTGAAAACACTTTTTTCCCTTTTAAAAAAAGGGGGGGAGGAGGAATTCGGCCAATTGCAGTACCCAACCCTTTTACGCCCCCTCGTATCAAAGCTGCTGTCCAAAGAAAATTCTGAAACAGGAGCCATGAGCTTAAAACCAAACCATTTGGGTTTTGGGGGGCCCTCTGGGGAAGTAAGGGGCAGCGGTTAAAGCAACAAGGGCGTATACCCAGCAACCTCCCTGGGGCAATGCAGTGGTAAATTTGATTTCAAGAATGCATTAAATTTCCCTTTAAAGAGACTGGTATTAGCAGCAGTTCAAGAACATTTCCCTTTTTCTTTTCCCCTTTTTTTTTTCAGGGGGGTTATACCCAAGGAATCAATGCTCTTTTTGGAGAGAAATGAAATCACAAAATCGGAGGGGCCCCAACGGGGAGATCCTTTTTGAAACCATTTCTCTTCGTATAGCATTGGGAAACCCTCAGCCCGACTGCCAGTGACCCAAAAACATCTGGTTCCTAGATAAAGGGGAACACTAGCGGGTTAAAAAGGGTCCCTCCTACATTACCTTACACAATAAGGACACGGGGACGGGGGAAATGGGTCCTTGTCTAAAACCTTTCCCAAATGTGAAATCACCCTCAGTCACCCAACAATTGATAAATCCCAGGGGGAGATCAAAACCACCAGGAGCAGCGTCATTGCCTCCACAAATATTTTACCCTTGCTGGGAACCCCCTCGGGAAGCAAGGGCCTTGAAAAAATTTCCCTCGGGAAAAAAATTGGAAGATTTAAAGGGAGAATAAACAACGAATGGGCAATCTGGACCCCCACGATCCCTTGTACCTTTTTCCCCAAAGTGCTTGATCTCCCCGGGTTTGACATATTTTTTTAAGATGGGCCCTTTTCAATAAAAACCCCCTTTACGGAATGAATATGACAATTTGAGGCAGATTTTTACGAAAGTATTTAAAACCTTACTTTTAAAGCGGGCAGGGGAAAACCAAGCTCCCATTTTCCATTCAGACTGGGAGGCAGGGTGCCGCAAAGTCATAAACGGGTTTGCTTTACCTGTTTTTCTGCCTCGTGTATTGAAATCCAGAGAGCTTGAAGCACGTTTCTCCCTAAAAAATTTTAGGGAAAAGTTTGGGAGCCCCGGCCCAAAAATTCATTGACGGAGCAATGATAGGGGGGAAAAAAACTAAGGGGCTCTGAAACCGACCTGCCCCCCCAAAACAATTAAAAAAAAAACCCCGCACTGGGAGGGGTCCAATAGGGGAAATATAGCCCAAAAATGCTTCAAAAGTGTGTCGGGGTGGGATGGAGCCCCCCCTTCCGGGCAGTGAAAAAGCCCCTCATGCGGGGGATTTTCTTTTGGGTTTTTTCCCAAACTCCAGCCTTGGCACCCCGCCTCGCCCCAAAACGGGGAACCACCCGCATCGGTGTTCCCCTTCCCGGTATCCGCCCCTATTCTCCCCGAAAAAGGTGTATTTTTTGGAAAGTGAAGCACCCGGGACCAAATTCGGGTACCATGGTTTGTGTGCCGAAATCCGGGGGGAAAGATTGCAAGACATGAGGAGGTTTTTAACATTATCAAGAGGACCCTTAAAAACAGCGGGGATGCCCAGCGAAAGGGGAGCCACCCCAATATGCAGATCTGATGGCAGCCAGAAGGGGCCCAAAAAGGGTTTTCACCCTTCAACCCCTGGGGGTGGTGTGGAACTTAATGTGCATCTACCTTGGCTGATACCTATCCCATACAGGGGGAAGGAGAAAAGAGGGGCAGCTGCCAGTTTCGGGGTCCCAAAAGTCTAAAAATTTAGGGAAACCCCTTCCCCACATTATATTTTTTTGTTTCCAAAAGGGTTTCAGAGCCCCTTTGGGCTCAGGGGAAAAGGTGAATTTTAAATTCCTTAAGGAGCTGGGAAAAAAGGAACACGCCCAGGGTAACTGGGGACCCAGGGCAGCTTTTTTTATTTTCCCAGCGGCCCCAGTGCGGCTTTAAAAAAGGGGGTTTAATGCCTGCTGTATTTTGGGCACACCCCCAGTCTGAGTACCCTGGATGAGATTTTCCCCTTTATAATCAGTGATACAACATTAATAACATGTACCTTATCCCACCTTTATACAACAATGTATCTCTTAAATCTTCTGTACCAAATATTATGAAAATAAAATATTCCTATTGGTAAAAAAAAAATATATTAAAAAAAAGGGGGTGGTAGGGGAAGTGGAATTTTAAAACGGCTTCGGAAAAAGAAATCCAAATTTTCTTCCTTGAACCCCCTTTTTATCCACTTCCCCAAACAAAGGGCCCCCACTTTTAAAACCCCAGGGGTGGGCCCCATCATATAAAAATATAAATATAAATATATTTTATATATATATTTATATTTATATATATATAAAAATTTATATATATATATATATTTAAAATATTGTGGGGTGTGGTGTGCGTGCCGAATGGGCAGAACTTGCGATCTTGTTTAAAAATAGCAACGTTCTCTTGCCAATGGGGACAAGTAAAAAATTTGTGTATGCAAATTAATTTTCCCCAAAATCACCCCTAAAACCAAAAGAAAAAAATATATTTAACTGTTTTTGTTTAAAATTTAAATTTTTGAAAACAAATCAAAAATTATATTTATTTGGGGTTAGGCAAAAAAT